CCGTAACGGTGTCCCAGGCCGTGCCGGCGGCTATGTCCCAGGTATGTCGGCGGCATATGAGAACCAGGCTTTACGAAGTGAGCCTTACACTTACAAGAACGAACTTGGGCCGCTTTTTGTCTCGTGTGAATGTTTGGGAAAACTGATTCCTGAAAAGATAAACAAGTCTTTCATTACAAAGTCGAGAGTACATTCAAGTTAAAAAAAAAACCCTCCCATTATCCAAACTGTCAGTCGAAATATTTACTTTCCAAAGACCAAGAAAACGCAATAATTTCCCTGATTGTTATAACGACTTTACGATATCCATTTTTTTTTTTCCTACTGGTTTCGGTATTTTTGCGGATGGATAATGCTATTCGCGGGATAAATCACTATCTGCTCAATAGCGCTTCATTGGGTGCATAAACTTATTCACCTTTGAGCAGCTGGGCCCAGGATGGGGGAGAGATACTGTAAGAGTAAAGAACACAACACAGTCAGGGGCCTAAAGGAGGGGCAAGGTTATCACATTTCCCTCAAATCCCAAATCCCAGTCCCCGTCTCCTATTATGTTTGTAATTCCACCCCAGGCCCTTCCAAATTGACCCCCGCCAGGACTTGAACCCAGAGTCCAACCTGGCTTTNTGGAGAAAAGCAGTTTTAAAATTCGCAGAGGTAACTGGAGCTAAAATCCAGAAAGCCAGGGACATTCCCAGCCTACAGTATTAAGAAGTGAGCCTTACACTTACAAGAACGAACTTGGGCCGCTTTTTGTCTCGTGTGAATGTTCGGGAAAACTGATTCCTGAAAAGTAAAACAAGTCTTTCATTACCAAGTCGAGAGTACATTTAGAAAAATTCTCCCATTACCCAAACTGTCAGTCGAAATATGTACTTTCTAAAGACCAAAAAACGCACAAAGGTTGAAAAAGCAGACAATAATTTCCCTGATTGTTACAACGATTTACGATGTCCATTTTTTTTTAATACTGGTTTCGGTATTTCTACGTATGGATAATGCTAATCGCGGGAATAACTCACTATCTGCTCAAAAACGCTTCATTGGGTGCATAAACTTATTCACCTTTGAGCAGCTGGACCCAGGATGGCGGAGAGATACTGTAAGAGTAAAGATCACAACACAGTCAGGGGCCTAAAGGAGGGGCAAGGTTGTCACATTTCGCTCAAATCCCAAATCCCAGTCCCCGTCTCCTATTATGTTTGTAATTCCACCCCAGGCCCTTCCAAATTGACCCCCGCCAGGACTTGAACCCAGAGTCCAACCTGGCTTTCTATAGCTTCCTACCTCCCATGCCTCTCTGTCTTGAGCATTGGCTTCAGTCTGTGGAGAAGATTCACTGCCATTAAAAGAAACAGCTGCACCACCTTTGCCACTAAATCTCTACAAAAAGGAAGAAAATAATACAGTTACACTTGACAGTGCAGACACCATTCACTACAGATATTTCCGGTGTTGATTGAGAAGCCATAGCCATCGATCGAAATGCATGGGCAATTCTGCGGGTTGGGCGTTTTATTGCAGCTTCATCACATCAAACAGACTTGTACGAACATGTCAGAAAGTCATCTGTATAAAACAAACAAACTGAATATAACATTTCCTGGAAATGACCTTTTGAAATCACACATCATACTTGTTACGAACTCCACTATAGCAATCTCTGCTATAACTAATCTGAAAACATTTGCTCCTGTTTGGAAAAATAACTTTCAATTTACGAAGAGGGAGTAATAGGGAAACGAAGACGGTAACTTAACTGAAATATGCATTTTGCTAAGCACAATCATTGTCATCCAGTGAATTTGTACCCTGCTAGCAGAGGTTTCTTTCTGGCAAGCCTTTTAGCATGCACAAAGTCATTCGCGTCTCTTGTATTTCGCGTAGTCGGCTCGACTAAGCGAAATACAAGAGACGCGAACGACTTCGCACATGCTAAAAGAATTGCCAGAAAGAAACCTTTGCTAGCAGGGTAGTGAATTTAAAATATCAAGCGGAAAAATGTATTTTGGGAAAGTCAATAGCTTACCACTTTACTGGAGCCATCTCTAGAAAGGTTGGAAGAATGCTACGAGAAAATTGGAAAACCAGATCAATACCTACACAAATCTAACATCGACAAACCCGTAAATATTAGGGAGCTTAAGAAACCACGACGGCGAAGCCGAGGACAACGTCGATTAAAAAATGATTTTCTATTTCACTTACAAATCTCGCGGTACCCTGAAGTCATTTACTTTGTTTATCACTGCCAAAGCTATCACGAAACTGAATCTAGCACACAGCGATAAATTCGAAATAAAAATTTAAAAAGACTGGTCGTCGTGGTTCATGGTCCCCAGACAACAAAGAATTTGGTCATTTCACGTTGTTGTTTTGCAGAGGACGGCAAAGACATGTACCAAGAATTATAATGCACGTGCACAGCCATTGTTCTCCTCATTAAACCTTTTGTTTAGCGACGTTGCCGTTGCCGTCGTGGTTTTCTAAAGCTCCCTATTAACCTAGGACAGATTTAGAGCTGTCAGTCCATACTGATAACATACCTCAACAAAGTTCGTGTGTGGTGTCTTTTACTGTTTATGATGGTTTTACATATCTTAATAGAGCTATATCATCAGTACAGAATTTTTGAGGTCAAATGTTAAGCATTCTGTCAACGAGAAGGCATCGAGTGCCTGAAGTATAATAACTTACGTATAATAACGCTTTCTAGGTAAACATTAACAGTAAAATTATTCAAGGAATCTCTTACTGACCTTGAGTCGTTCTTCTTCAAATCTTAATCTGGAAAGTTGAGCTTCTCTTCTGCTTTGTTGCATAAGTGCTTCTCTTTTTCGTGCTCTGAGTTCTTCCTCCTGGACAAAAATCGTAGGAAAGGCGTTAAACTCTTCTGGCCCCAAGCTTAAAAGATAACTTCACCTAACTGTTTTAGTTATGAGAATTTGGTAGTTCATCAAGACAACATTCAAGTTGTTGTTTTTCCATATTATCACCTGTTTGCTTGACAATGTAATGAAACTGTAAGGAAAAATATTTTAGGGGAGTACGTTCTCTTAGGAGAAAATTTCTTTTATTTTTATTTGTTTTCCTGTAAATGTACAAGGTTGTAGGAATTTAGTGGAATTTCTTGACAAAAACACTACGATGCAATCATAAGCAGGATCATAAATTACCTGTCTACTCCACGCTACATCAGGAGATTCCATCTCAGGGGAACTACAATGTCAATCAAACATTAATCAGTTTATACACATAGTTATTACCAAGTTATTAAAGCGCCACTGAGCTTTGGAAATGAGCACTTTATAAATTCATGCATTCTTATTATTTATTATCATTAGTTAGCTATACAACAATATTCAACTGTTTAACCCTGAGAATGCACTTTCATATGAGTACAGTGGGTCTGGTGAGGACTTTTGTAACACCTAAGTCACAAAAGAGATAGGTAACAGGTAACATGATGGATCTGGTAGTAAATCTAACAGGCCTAGTGCCCCTTAACTGTTGGTATGCCCACAGTATTTATTCAGGTTGCCCTTTAAGTTCACTGATAACTGCATGAGCAAAGCCAACACATCATGATAACCTTGGGTGAGGACTCAACCCTAGAGTCCCCTGCACTACCCTAAGGCCACTACATTTCCTGTATGAGAGAGCAGCATGTTTGCAATAAGCCTGGGCCACTCATCCTACACTATAGGTTGAATACAAGTTAAAAAGGAACAAAACAAGTTTTATGATCATTTGGTGCATTTTTTTCTTCCTTTTCATTGGCCGAGAGCCCACCACGTGACCTGCGTCTGCTTACAAATAATGGTCTGCTCATGTGTAGTACCGTGTAAACGTGTTTTGCTGCAAATAATGTTCTGCTCATACGTAATTAAAACCACGTTCTCAAGGGGGAAAATGGCAGATCGCTTCCCTGAGCTGTCAGATAGTGATTAAAATTGGAAAACAAACTTAGTGATCCAATGATAAAACAATTATTGAACTCAGTTATCGCAAAATATCGTGATTTGTCACTGTCTCACGAATCAATTATTTACCTCAGCCTTCGGCTCCAGCAAATAATTGATCTGCTCGCGCCACTGACAAATCACGATATTTTGCTCAACCTCGTCCAATAATTATTAATCATTTCCTTACCTTGGTTCTTTTGCTGAGCCTGAACGGGTTAATACTTTATAAGTCGGTGGACGCTTTGGAAGAGCGGTTTTTGCACCGTCTCTACCGCCAAATGAAGAGGAAGCCAGTCTTCTACAGACAAAAACAGTAATACATGTTTAATAACTAGCTTTACTGCATCTTCTTTTGTAAATCCTAGGCCTCTCTATTGGCCACAACAGTAAAAATCAAGGTTCTCCTTAAGTTATAGTCATTCCTAATGGTGACTTATAATAATATTAAGTAATTTATTAAAACTCTTTGGCAGTCTTGTGTCAGACTTGTGACTTGGTCACTGCCACAAATTGTACTGCAAAGGTTTCTGCAAAGCAACACTACAATAGTATTATTAATGGTAAAAAAAGCTAACTCTCACCTCGGATCAGAAGTTCCATTCTTAGTTTCCATTTTTCTTCTGACCTCTGCTTGTCTTTCTCTTTGTAATTCTTCATGTTGTGATTGGAGTTTCTTGGCAGCACTTCTCCGTTCCTCTACCTGTCTTTCTTCCTCTTCCTTCTTTCGCCGTTGCTCAGCTTCAATTTGTAGGAATTCCTGGTCAAAAAATAGAACACCAGTAACAGAATTAGCAAATGACATCAATTTAAAAAAAAAAAACACCTTGCAAGGCATAATAAACAGTACTGCTCAGAAAATCTGTTCAAAAGCTTTCATTTCAAGAGGCACTGTAAGGGTTAAATTCTGACAAGTGACACAGTGTTTAAACAGTGACATGGATGGTGATAAAAAGATGACACAAAACACAACTTGTGCTAAAATTCTAAAAGTTATGATAGGACTTTCCCGATTTNAATGTAATCAATTTTACGTACAATGGATTGTGAACATTTGCTGGAAATGAATTTCGTAAAATGCCCAAAGTACTGGCAGGTAATAAAAGGTTTGTAGGAGTCAAACTTATCACAGATTACCACAAAAATTGACTAACAACAAACCTTTTCAAGTTCTTCTCCTTCAGTAAATTCCTCATCTGGTTTAGATGGTATTTCTCCCACTTCCACCTCATGGGCATCTGCAAGAAGTTGCTGGGCTCTTTCAATCTCTTTCTGAATCTCACGTCTCTTCTCTTCTGTTTCAAACACATTAGACAGGGGGGCCCTAGATCTCTCTCTTTCTCGTAAAGAGCTTGGTCGATAAACATCTTTCTCGTAAGCCTAGTGCAATAGAAGAGAGGTCTCAATAACAAATCAGACTTTTCCCTTGATTATCATTCACTACTACTGTCAAGTAATGCAACTGCATTTCCAAGCTTAAATTTTGATAATACAACTGTGGTTATCACACTACATTCTACCACCCCTAAAATCAGATTCAAATGAATCATTAACACTAAAATAAACCATGAATCAGACTCTGGACCCCTTGCTCTGGAGTCCTGGTGACACAATTACAGTATCTTTTAACCTACATATGTAGTAGGCCATAATTATTCTTATTCTCAGTGTTGGACTGAAACTAGCTTGCAATAGATGCTAAACCAGGGAAATATCATTTAAAAGAGATGGATGTCATTTGCATTTGAAAAGACTCCCCGCCTAATTATGAGGTCTGCATGTCCCAGCTTAATTCCTGAAACTTAGCTCACCTCTCTTGGAGAAGCATTCCTTGAAAACTCCAATGAGTGTGCCCTTCTAACTCTGTCAATCATCAGATGATTTTCAGTAGCATCGTCACTGCAACAACAGTTAACAGATGATCGATAAACATCATATGAGATGTTTTAGTGGCTAGTGTTGCTCTAGTTTTGAAAAGCCCAGACAAAGCATCAAAATGAAAAGAGAAAATACGCACTAAAATGCCTAAAAAAGGCTCTGTTGTTTTCTCTCTCCTGAAATCAAGATTTCAAAATGTGTTTTGTGGTCTTGTTACAACATGGAGTTAGTGAGGTCCACAGAAAATTAAAATAACGTTACATGTAATTCTGAATTAAATTGGTTCAAACCTTGACGACCTTGAAAGAGGATATCTTCTAACTTCTCTGTCAAATGTTCTCCTCTGTACGGAAACAATAACAAGCAATTGTAAAACTATGTGTCTTGATTGATTTTAGTGCTGGAAGAAACATGAAGCAGGGACATGTAGCAGCAACAGTTTTCCTCATGTGACATACATGTTCTGCAAAAACGTTCTGTTGCAGGGATGAAATCTGTCTCCTTAACATGTTGTATGAAATTCAGCTATTTTGAACTTGTATATCATGAGCAGGGACAAAATAATCTCAATTTTTAATGTCACATTGTGTGCAATGTTCTTCCAAACTTTCCCTGCTACAACATAGAAAGGAAACAATATCAGCTTCATGGTTAACGCTTGTGTACTGTCCCTGCAACATTTATCCCATGCACACACATGAAGGGGCTTGTACCTGGTTCATGTCTCCACAACATGTCCCCTAGTGTGTAACTTTAATGTCATACAACACAGGAGGGATTGTTACCATCTGAAGAAAAAATATCTGTGCAGATGAATGCACAAATGTTACAAATAAATCACTGGCACCGTACCTTTTCCTGTTCATGAGCTGTGGCACTAAGGTACTTGAAAATATGTAATTTTCCTTTGGTGCAGACCTGCGATAGCAAAACAATAGAAATTAGCTCATTACAGATTTATCTTAGCAATGGAGTTTACATATAAGAGCTCTGCAGTTTTACTACAGAACACTTGAGTCCACAAAAATTAATATAGTGAGAGTTGTAGATTTTCATTTCCATTTTTGGCAGAACATTGCAAATAATAAGAGTCCACATGTACCACCAAGATCAATGTACATGTATGTCAAACATGGAAGTGTAACTGCACCTTTAAGCACAAAGCCTCCTTGTGTCTCGTGTAATATAATATAACATGATACACTGTTATAAAGTGGTTTTCAACTGAGTGTCATACATAATCATATAGAGTGGTTTTCAACTGAGTGTTGAAAGTAATCAGGCCATTACTTTGGTTTTGGTTTTGGCTTTACTATGGTTTGAGATTGGCTGAGTAGTCTAATGGTAAGTAATTGGTTTGGTTTTGGTTTGATGACACTAAATTAAAAACTGCTCTAAAACCAAAACCAAAGTAAACACTCTAGCCAATCACAAAGAACACACACAATCCAATGAACCAATCAAAACTTGAAGTAACAAGTGGGACCAAATCATGATTGGTTTTGGTTTTACTTCTGATAGGATGAAAAAGTGGCGTAAGTTTTTTTTAAGCCAATCATGTTGCTAGTAGTACAGAGATCTGTATACGAGCCAAGGGACCCATCAGGCCAGAGTGTATCCTAGTTTCTGCAGCATGAAATGGCTAGGAATATTTTCTACTCCCCCCTGGATGGGATGCTAGTCCATCGCAGGGTTACCCCCAGCATTAAATTTACCAATACCCATTTGTACACCTGGGTGGAGAAAGGCACTGTGAGTGTAAAGTGTCTTGCCCAAGAACACAACACAATGACCATGGCCAGGGCTCGAACCCGGACCACTCGATCCAGAGTTGAGCACACTAAACACGAGGCCACTGCACTTCCACAGTAGTACTAAACTGATATCTTTTTTAAAATGTTATTTTAAAAGAGAGGGTTCAAATGACCTTTATTAAAAAAAGCATACCTGTGCAGGGGGGGATGTCAACGGGTTGTGTGCCAGTTCCAATACTGACAAACTTGTAATCAGACGATAAGCAGGAGGAATCACTGACACCTTGTTGTAAGAAAAATCTAACCTAACCAATTTTAATTTACTAAGTTCTGCAAGAAATGGAAGAGACACAAATTAATCAAACAATACACACATAACAGTTTTTATGAATTAAAGGAACTGGTTGCATTATATGGCCATAACTGTTACAAACTTTTAACAATGCTGTGGATAATATTTCATTGCAGCCTTAAATATAAGAACAGGTATTGGTAGAGGGAATGAAAAAAGGAACCTTTCCTGGGCAACAGTTACTCTGAACCAAATGCAAACAGAATCACAACATTCAGTCAATCAGGAAAAAGTGACATTGCTTGGGAGAGATCACTGTTCTAACTATAAAAGCTGACTGAGACCAACTGAAAATGAAATTAATTCACTTTTCATTAATTTGAACAAAAAAGACTTTCTTTAACCACTTTGGGAGGTCAGAGGGAGGGAGGAGTGGGGAAATGGATGGGGGAAAAATATTGTTTTTCCTGATTCACACAATAAATTTCTCCCAACAAAGTGATCCACTGTCACCCAAAAATTCATTACTTTAACCTGCATATGATATACATGTGGGTCAAAGTAATGAATGTTTAAATTCCCAAGCTTGAAACAGTCCACTATTTCCTGACCCCAGGAACCAAGACGCTCCACCCTTGATAACACACATTATTATAGAGCTCTGTATTCCACAGCACTTACCATCTGGTAAAACTTCTAAACGATTCCTCCGAATGTTTAAATCCTTTAAAGAAATCATTTCTCCCATGCTACTGGGCAAGTGGATTAATTCATTTGAACTCAAATCCTGCCAAAAAATAATAACAATAAAAAAATAATTAGTTTTAATTAATATATTAAAACATTAGGAAAAACTTCTCAAAACTTCATTAAATTTTCTTTTTCATCTGTCAATTGTCAATATTCAACTAGACAAGTGCTTACAGATGGTTGTCAGCAGAAAA